GGGGGGGGGGGGGGGCCCGTCCCGGGCCTGTCCTATCCACGGTGCCCCGCAGGAAGCTGGCACTCAAGTACCACCCGGACAAGAACCCCGATGACCCGGCGGCAGCCGAGCGCTTCAAGGAGATCAACAGCGCCCACGCCACGCTGAGCGACGAGGACAAGCGCCGCCTCTACGACCAGTATGGCTCCCTGGGGCTCTATGTGGCCGAGCAGTTCGGTGACGACGCCGTCAAGCACTACTTCCTCATGTCCAAGTGGTGGTTCCAGGTGAGCCCTGCCCTGCCGCCGCGGCCCTGCCCAGCCTGTCCTCCGTGCAGGGCGTCGCCGGGGCCACCGTGACGGGGACCTGGCTGCTGGCAGGACTCGGGTGGTCTCACAGGGGCTGCCATCCCCTCCTCTGCAGGCCCTGGCTTTGTGCTGTGGTGCTCTCACCTGCTGCTGCTGCTGCTGTTGCTGCTTCTTCTGCTGTGGGACGTGCTGCCCGCCGAAGGAGGACGAGTCCTACAAGCACGTCGACCCCAAGGACCTGGAGGCGCAGATGCGCGCGGAGGACAGTGGTGAGTCGGGCTGTCTGCGTGTGTCTCGAGCCCCAGCAGCTGAGACCACCTGGCTTTGTCTTGTGTGGGGCTCCGGTGGGGCTGTCCCCATCTCATCTCATCTCACGTGGGGGTTGGAGCTCTGGCTGGAGGCTCAGATCTGACTTAGCTGCACCTCTTGCTTAACAGCCAGCCCTCAGTGTTTCCTGTCTGGACTAGGGCTGGTGACGGCGGTGGAGGGAACCACTGCACAGACCATGGGGCTGCCTTTTCCTTCCTTGTTTTTCCCTGGGAAGGGCTCCCTGGAGCCCCTGCAAGGGTCTGCGGCCGAGAGACACTTGGGCCCATGTCCTCCTGGGGAGGGAGCGTGGGGAGAGCAGCCGTGCTCCAGGCTGGCTTTGTTCCCGGGGCGCTGGCCATACTGGTGTCTACGGGGACTGCCACTGGGTCACTTCTGCAGGTTTCCGTGGGGCGGAGGGCACTGCTGCATGGCTGTGTGCTGGTTAGAGGTTTGGGAGCCTTGGTCTGTGGGAGCCTTCATGAGGGTGTTGGGATGTCCCAGATACCTGCTCGCTGGTACCACGAGACGGGGCTGAGCCACTGATCTGTTGCTCTTCTTTTTCAGATCCGCAGATACCTGTTGTGGCGCAGCCCCCGCCTGCCAGAGTGGAGCCCTTGCCAGCTGTCAGCACCAGGACCGATGCCTGAGGCTGGCGTCAGTCCCACCAGCTCCCCCAGGACTCCAGGCATGGATCCTCCTTTGGGACTGTCACTTTCCGGGACCCCGGTCACGCCACCCGGGGTGGTTCTCCAGCCTCAAGGTGGCTAGAATCTCAGGTTAATTTGGCCAGCATCAACGCAGAGGCCCTTCCGCCGCTGCTCGAGCTCCAGGGTGATGCCCCTGTCTCCCAGCACTGGTGGTGGAGGTGGCCTGGAGCTGTGCTGCTGCGCCCCGTCCCCAGTGCCTCGCCTGCTGCTGTGCCCCGGCCCGGCCCTGGGCACTGGCAGCCGGCCCGAGCAGCTGCAGGTGGAGACCTCTCCGGGCCAGGCTCCGTAGCTTACAAGAGGTAGCTGAGCGTGTCCAAGACCATTAGCACTGTAATCTCTGGGGCTGGGCTGAGCCCGCTACCCGCCCTCACAGGGACCCTCCTGATGGATGCTGGGTGCCAAATGCTGCTTGTGGGGTTGGGGTGCCACCTTCTGTACCCCCTTCCTCTCTGCCCTGCCACAGCCCAGGGGCACTGGCTGCACCCCACGCTCGCTGCTGCTGGCAGGCTCCCTGCAGGGCTGGGCCCAGTACAGGCACTTTCCTTGGGTTTGTATAGGTTTTATGGGCACCATTAAAGGATGACAGGAGGGGAGCATGTTTCTGTTTGGTCTCTGTCTCATCAGGGGCTGCCTGAACACTGCAGCAGGATGTGCCTCTGCCTGGCCCTGCCCTGTGCTGGGGCGGGGGGGCTGTGGCCATGGGTCCCACGGAGGGGGTGGGCTGAGTGGGGTCTGGAGTAGGCAGGTTGTGTCCCAAATGCTGCTTGGGGGGGTGCTTTCTCGCAGGGGTGAGCATTGCTCTGCCCCCCTGCCCCCTTCGTGGGACTCCTCTGCGCCCCCCAGCCAGTGCTGGCTCCCACAGGGCTGTGCTTTTCCCCCTCCTCGCTGCTGCAGTGTGTAGGGCAGCAGCAGCCTGGCCAGGTACCCTGGTCCTGTTGGGGCGTTCGTGGGGACTGTCCCCACTCCTCCCGCTGCTGACGTGCTGTGCGGTGCCGTCCCTGTCTCCCTGCGGCCCCATGGGAGATGGCTGTCCTTGGCAGGAGCCACGGTGCTGCGGCGGTGCGG